TGGCCTATATGTCAGAGAAACACATAATATGCAAAATGCATATGAAAAGAATGTTGAAATTTAGTTTTTGAGACAAGTCACATGAAACAAAACTAGAAGCTGTACTAAAGAATATACTACTGCATGGAAGTTACATGCTCAGTTCTTTTTGAAAGTTAATTTGATTTCTAATTACCCTTAATTTACAATAGATTGTTTTAGGTTTATAGGGAATGGTTTTCAGAACCAGAAATTGTTGTACAGAAATTAGATCCATTGTATTTATTCAAGTGATGCTTCAGTAATATTAATTTTAATTAAGGCTCTATTAATGTGATTTATGTGTGTGTGAAGATTCCAGTATTTGCAACACTGTTGCATAAGGAAACCTGTTAAATTTACCTGGTTTGTTGCCCTTCGGCTAAACACTCAGAGTCATTATTCTCCTCAGTCATTGTTCTCTACCTTTCCAGTTGCAGGGAATGATGAGGGAAGAAAGAGGAAGATCCAGCAGATCAACAGCCGGCTCCCAGCCTGGTGTCACCAGCAGAATTTGAGTTTTTTGATCATGGGTTGGTCTACATGATACCAGGCCTGCTGGCAACAGACAGGGTACACCTGTCCCAAAGGGAAAAGGGTCTTTGCGCAGGAGTTAGCAGGGCTCATTGAAAGAGTTTTAAACTGGATTTGAATGGGGAAAGGGATAAAATCAGGCTCACTAGAGATGAGCCTGGGGGTGGCACATCAATGTTTGAAGGCAGACTTTGGCCTGTTTAGGAGCCTGGTTGGCAGAGTCCCTTGGGAGGCAGTCCTGAAGGGGAAAGGAGTCCAGGAAGGCTGGGCATTCCCACCCTTACTCAAGTATCAGACTAAATAACAATGCAAAATAATGTGAGTACAAATTCTTCCATAAAGGTCTAAGTTAGCAGGCTAGCTATAACAATTATAAATATCTGCCTCAAACAGATGCAAGTATGGGTCATAAACATTCTAACCAATTTCTGAAAATAAAACATTGTACAAGTCTTTGTTTCATTACCAGAAGTGCGATTATCTGAGACTGACAATTGCTGCTTTGGCTGCATTCCCTGTCTGCTGGAGAGGTAACTCCCTTGTAAGGATATTTGGTGAAACAGGTGCAAAAGAAGACATGAAAATTGTATGCGGATACATCACAAGAGAAGTTGGATGGCATGATTCACATTCATTTCCTGGAGATGTTTAAAAACTTTCTGAAAATATTTTGATAGAGCAGACAAAAGTGTTCTCTGGATAAATGAGTGACTGGCCTAGAAAATCTAGGATTTGTAGCATGCCAAGTGTGAAATGAAGGATCGCACCACCTTAGTCAAGTTAAATTCAGTCTTTTGCTGAGTCTTTGAGGCTGATCTTGAAGGACAGCATGGAAAAGTCATCAAAAACAAAAGCAATGAAAGAAAAGAAAACCCAGAACAAATAACTGCAAGCATCCGCTGCATGACTCTTGACAGCCAGTAATATTACCTCCTGGCTTAGATGCCGAGGGTGATGTTCAGACCACATAAAATACAATTTTAAAATAAAAACAGAGAAAATGAGATTAATGGAGATAGACTCTCACAAAAAAAGCTAAACAGAGAGAGATGCGAAAGGTGTGGGATACATGACAAGGTTTAAAAATTTAAAGATTACTGTTTTCCTAGTTTGCTACTAGAAGCAATGGCATGAAACCCTCAAATCCAGAAATCATATATATTTCTGAATTTTACATCAGTGAATTATCTTAAACCCACACTTGCCCTCAACATTGCTGCTCTCCCTACCAGACATACTCACCCTGGATACTTTGTCTTACTGTATTAAATCACACAAATATTGGTTTTGTTTTTCATAGAATCATTTAGATTGGAAAAGATATTTAAGATCATTGAGTCCAACCTTTATCAATATTTGCTATTCATTTTTTTCACAGAGAAGCAAAATGATCACCATCATTCAGCAAACCAGTGGTAGCAACGGGAACAGAAGTCCTGCTGATCAGGTTTACCAACCTACTAATGGCAGAATGGAAGAATTGGATCACACCTTGACTCATGATCATGCTTTATTAAATCACAGTATAACTAAACCATAGCCAGAGTTTAAACTTTGCTGAGGGACACACACCAGTGTAGTTTTCTAGCACATCTTAGAAAGCTGTTGTGTATTTCCCATCTTCCTTTTAAGAACAACTGCAAGCAAACCTGCTAAATATAATTCTAATACAACCAACATTCTGACTGATGACAAAGGTCAGAGGCATTGAAGAAATTAAAAAGTTTTCTGCAACTTATTAGAGTTAAGAAGTATAGAGATGACTTTCAGAAGAAAAGGATACTTCCCCCATTGTCTTCTGTATTAATCTGAATCTCAGTAAGTACCCAACAGGCCTTTATTATGCATTTAATTTAAATTACATTAATGTGTAACTCAGGAAGAAAAGGGAATCATTTGTAGCAGCAAGATATCAGCTGTCCTTGCGCACTACCTAAAAGAGTTAATTTTACAGCAAGCCACAGCTGCTCTGCTCCTACTACATTTGATGTGGGTTTGAGAATGTTTCAGGGGATTTACTGTTTTAGTACCTGTTTGTCCCTTTTTAACAAGTGTAAAATTATGGATTTTAAACAGAGATGATAATTCAGGAAAGCTATGAGTTCTTTTGCGAAGACTTTAATCAGGACCATGACATTTCTTTTCAAACAAGAGAAGCTTCTTAATTTATTTTGCCTGGAAGGAACTGGCTTCTCCAATTTAGCTTCATTTGTTAGAGCTTTTTGACTAATGCCCTAATCCTCCTAACCATTTTTCACTCAGTTCCACAGTCTGTTATCGATAGAAGTTTCAAACTTATGAAAATGATACATTTTCTAGGCAGGTGGAAAGAAAAGGAAGGCTTTCAAGATATGTTTACTCTGCCATCACAAAAAGAAATGCATCACTATATGTGAATGATATTAATCTCAGACCTATGTTAGGTACTGGCTATGCTTTGGAAATAATGGCATGGACTTTATCCTAGATCTACTGCTCAAAATCTCAAAGGAGTTTATACAGCTCTCCCTGACACACATTTTGCAGGGACCTGCAAAAAAAAAAAAAATCTGAAAAATATTTACTTACTCACCTAAACAAAAAAAACAAATAATGAAATACTTCCTTCTCAAAAATTCATTTTCAGTAAAAATAAATTAAGTTGCTGTGGATTTTGAACAATATTGTCACTGCCTCTAGCCTCTGAATTGTTATCAAAAGATGAAAAATTGTAAGCAAAAAATAAACATTAACCCCAGATTCTTAACCAAAATTACCTATTTTTCCAAAATTAGGTCTCTAGAGTTGAAGCAGCATCTCTGTGAGTTTTTGGTGGTCTTTTGAGGGGCTTGAAAAGCCATTAGAAATTGTAATTAGTTCTAGTATCACCACCTTCTTTTCAGTCTGTTCCTCCTCTATTTTTATTCCTTCTAATAGAAGCTTCTGGCTTTTACTGTGACAGTAAATTCATAACAATGTTTCCAAAATAAGTATTTCACTAGTGAGAGGAGCTGATTAGCCATAGTATGAACCTCTCCATTCTTCTATTTATATCTCCTAAAGTCAGGATCCTATATTGCTGACTGTAAAGCCAGTCTTTTGCCTCTGATATTTCCTAGGTATGTCTACAGCCAGATTAAAAACATCTGCTGGACCAGGCAGATTTATCCACGGTTCAGTCAAAGCTCTTAATCAGATTCAGTTTCTTCTTGTCCTGGTCCCTTTAATTCTCTCATTATTGTCTGCCTATATCTTAACTTGAAACTTCAACAATTCCTCTTCTCTTCCAAACCTGGAAATAGCATCTCATTCCCAGATTCAAAACGCTTAGATCCATTTGTGCAGTTAACATAAAAGCTGTCTGAACCTTCAAAGTTCTCTGGTCCAGAGAAACTTTCTGTGCCTATTCTATAAACAGCTCCCATCAACATCAGATGGTATATTGTTTTCTATCCTCCTTCCTTATTTTGACTTCACAATAATGTTCCAGTCTTCTTGCATCTAATGCCTGTGGTCTGAATCTTTCACTTCAAATGATTTTCTCTACCTGACGTTCTAAATCCTACCTAAAAATCCATTTCTTCTACCACTCTTTCACTTCCACATTGCAAATGCAAGCTGACCATGTCCAAGTTTAATATTTTTCATTTCAAACTTTCTCACTGTATTCACCTCTTCTACAGCTATCACCACCTAACTTCATTTTCCCAGAACAATTAGTTTTAATTAAGTACCTTTTCCCAGTGTCACAGTGGAAGATATAGTCCATATTTGGTTTCATTGGTAATGACACCAAACTCTGTACACAGAAAATGAAAGCTTAACTCTAGGTAAGGGAAACAGATATAATTCTGCAATAAAGCAAAAACATGTGATTATTGAGTTCTCACAGTTTAATTGGAAGTCTGGTGACATTTGACATTCTTTCTCAAAGTTTTAGCTCTCAAAGGTAGTTGATTACATAAGCCCTTTTTCAAAAATTTTGTTTCAGATGGACTTTGACAAAGAACTCAGACAAATCTTGTTTAGACAGTATATGATGCCCACAGCTCGAAGCCAACAATACCTAACTTTTATATACATTAAAAATAGCTTGGAAATATGACCAGGGTGAAGCTGAAAGGCTTAGAGAGAAAAAAAGCAGATTAAAAAAAAAAAAAGTCAGATTTATTTAGAAGTATTTTTAGCTATGCTGATAATTTTGGTTGTGTGACTCATACCTTGGGAAACCTTTGAGATGGTAATAGTCAAATACAGGTATCTTCTGATTCAAGAAATCAGACATAACAAATCTATTCACTGAAAACCCCAAACTGAGTGTACACACAACTGCAGTCTTCAATAGTAGACTGATATAAACTCTAGATCTACAGCCCTTTTTCTTTTTCCCGGGCTACCCCAATGCTCCACAGAGGCTGATATTTATCAGTGGCCCCGCTCACAGGCAGAGTGGCCCCATCAGCACTCACCACCGGCCGGTGCACATCCCAGAACGCTCGCTCCTGACTGTCGAGAATCTTCCTCTCTATCTTGTCTCTCTTCTTGTCTACTCTGTCAGTGTTATAGGATATTTAAAAGAAACAGTGTTAACAACAGTAATTTTAAACATAAGAAGTGTCCAATCACTTTTCCCTCCCTTCAAAAAGCATGCAAAACCAAAACTCCTCGTCTTCAAAGGAACTTACTTTGCTTGTGCCTCAGCTTGCATAAAAATAAACTCCCATTTCCGAGCAAATGCTCTCTGTAGCCTGGCCAAACTCTCCTGAAAATACATCACAATTTTAGTGGGTTAGGTTGTAAGTTATTTACTATTTAATAGCTTTTAGGGTATCTTTCCCTCCTCCCTTCGCCCCCCCTCCAAGATGTAATACAAATCATGATATCTGTGCCAGTGTAAATATACCTTACTTATCCAATATAAAGTCTTTGATTGACACCAAATGGGATGGAATACTAGAGCTGTCTACTTTTGAATGCCCCAACTATTTTAGTTTTGAAACTCTGATGACAGGAGTGGATGCAACCTTCAGCAGAACATGGGATCCCTGAGGCATTTTTATATACTGAGTGCTGGCTGGGTAATTTTGTAATAATACAAAGAAACAAGTTCTTGTTTTGAAAGTACCTAATACTGAAAGATAACAGCAGTACTTTCCATACCAGGTGATCCACATGACAATTCCCATCAGTCATCTATACAAACGGTTTGCATTGAACAATGTTGGCCGTCTATCAGTTTATTTAAAACACAATAATAAGAAGCTATCAATGTTTTGGTAGTATAGGAATCTTCCAAGATCTCCACAGCTATCTTCATTTTAAAATAATGCAGACTATAGTTCTTCACTACTGTACAGGAAATGTATATATGCTACAGCCTACTAATAATAACAGGAAGGAGATTTGTAAAATCTTAGCAAAATTCTTCCCTCCAGTGATGCTGGAACAGCTTCACTGCCTGTAGCAGAGCTTTTCCAATCTCTCCCAGCTTAAATGGCAGCAGTTTGCAATCTGTTAACATGGAGAAGGCTGAGGTTCCTATCTTCCTCCAAAAAGTCCCCAGTTACCTTCGTGCACTGGTTTTACTGAGACTAAGGGAAAAAATTGTCTGTAAACTTCCTAACAAAAATTGTTGCTTTAACTGTATTTCTGTGCATTGCAAATGTATCTCTATGATATACTTACTGAAAATAAGGACTGGAGAGAGTGAAGAGGAGGCTTGCTAGAGATCGTGTCGATACCAGTAAAGGCTCTTGTGGATTGTATACTGGAGCTGAATTTTCTAAGGCATGTAAGTATAAAATTATGCGTACCCCACAGTGCAGTACACTGAAAAGCAAGCTTGTGCCAGAAGAAGTAATAAAGTGTGTCAGCATGGTGCTGCGGCTGGAGTATTTGGCATGTTGAGAAGCCTGGCTGACCATCCTGCTGTCATGTCACAGGAGCACAGCTGGACAGCTTTCAGCGCAGAGCCAGGGCTGTTCATAAATTTTATGTTGACATTTTCATGAAAAATTCAGGAACATTTGGGAGGATAGGGATGGAATTCAAGACATCTCTCTCCTTAGTGAGTGCCATCCTCGTCAGCTAATCAAACTCCCTCTCTTTCCAGCTCTTCCTGGTCCCAATTATCTTACCTTGCCTGGGGTACAGCACGACTTTCAGGGAGTGCGAAGTGCCCCTAGTCTCACTCTCTTTGCCTCTAGTCTAACTGATGGGACAAGGGCTCAAGTGCCAGCATCACTTTAAAGAATGAGATTTATATTTCAACAGCTTCCAAGTGCTTTTGAAAATGTTGCCGGAGATCCTTTATTCAAACCTTACCCGGTGTAGAGTACAATTACTTTCAAACACTCGTGGTGTATCTGGGATTTGTGAAGAGTTATTTCTGATTCTGGCATGGTGATCTGAGCAGAGTAAGACTAGAGTGGGACCAAAATTGCAATTTTTGCCCAGCTAGCCTTCACTACAGTCTCTCAAACAGCATTTATGACTAGTGAGCACCATCAGACCCACATGCTGGCAAAAGAGGATAACTAATATAAACTTTCATACCTAATGCCTATAGTTCTCATGCTTAACATTATTTCAGATGCTCATTAGGCCCAGCAGAAAAATTTGTGTTTTCCCCATGTACTTACAGCTTCATAGTCTGCTAGCTCTAGCCTTGCTTTGTTTTGCATTGTCCGCTTGCAGAGGTAAACAGCTGGAACAGAATAAAATAACACAGAATTTGCTACTATCTCACAAACATGGCAGTCCAGAAATCTAGAGATTTCATCTCTGTTTTACTGCTAGCTTTTTTTGTTTTTATTTCTCCCTCTATTCTAAAAAGCTTTAAGTACAGGATCAATGCTACCAGTATTATAACTAAAATAAAAGGTCAGATACAGAGATTCATTAAATAATTACAAAATCTGCTTTATGCAACAGACATCATACAAAAAACGCATGAGATACTTAGGGTGAGGTTGTTTAATGGCCTGGGAACTAGCACATTGAAGAAAAAATGGCAAAAACACTTTTTAAATTGTGTGTGTATAACTCATAATGCCTAAGAGTTTTATCAGGAGCTGCTGCTATATTAGTCAAATAGGTTTTTAAGAACGTGTATACATGGGTTTATTTATTTTTACTTTATATTTAGAAATCACAAAGTTTCAGCCTGAGAAGATTTTAGCTAAAAATTAATTCCAGATAAAATTCAAGTCTCATACAGATTAGTCTGCTACAACCAATATTTAAAACAGAAAATAACGTGAGACCAAAAAATGAAAAAAGTGCATCATGTATTAGATATAATGAGAAAAAGTATTCTTTCATTTATTTTGTAGATCTAAAATCCTTCAGCAGAGCTGTTCTGCCTCCACCTCATTCAGACAGAGCAGAATCTTAACTAAGAAAATGGAATACTGACAGCTAAATACTGAAAGTACGCAGAGATGAAAATGAAAATTAAGACTGCATAAACAGCACAGTGGTCTGTATCACATTGCTTGATCCTGAGTTCTTTATTACCCTTAAATTAAGTACATTTCCAATAGACTCTATTTAGCAATAAATACTTCACATCTACTCTGAATATTGTACAGCTTCCCCTACCAGTAAGACCATGACTGCAGCACAATTCCTGTTGTGCAATATTTACCCACTTCATTACTTCAGAGCACCTTCTCAGGGGTGAGATGGAGGAATCTTTTGATTAACGTAGGTAAGAAAACCTTAGCTTATTTGTGGTGTCCACAATCAGCAAAAAGAGCCCATATTTACTGGTTGTGGTTAGGAATGTTCCTGCTTCCTGACTGCCAGCTTGTCCACTACAGGAGCAAAGAGAAATACCTTTATATAGGAACCGAACTCTTGAAGTCACTAGGAAGAATGAAGTGCTCATCTTATGTACAGCTTTGATTTTTAAGGTACTCAAACCAATTATATTTTATAACTCCATGGAAACATTTATTTCTGACAAGCCACCTGCAAATGCATGCAAACCCACTCCAGTGGCTGCTATTTCAGTGGAACTGATAACAAGCACTTCTAACAACTGCAGCTGCAGTTACAGGTGTTACTTGATGTAAAATGAAGTGTATTTTAACATAGTATCTGTCTTCCCCCCCTCCCCTCATTTTGTGTGCATTATCTGGTCTATTTTCTTTCATACTTCTCTACTTTCCACCCTCATAAGAAGCCATGGTCTCTTTCTCTGTTCCCTGCACTCCCATATCCCCTCTGGTTCCAAAGCAATTTCTGTGTCTACAAAAATCTACAGATACAGATACAAATCCACATCACACACCAAGTATAGCAGACAAACAGCTTCTATAACCTCAGTTTCCACGCATTTTAATATTAGTGTACACTTACACTAATGCATTGGCATGCACGCTGAAATGTCACAAAAAGATGAGGGGATGAATTCTGGACCCTTTTTACCTATGTTGCATCCACGATCAGTACAGTGGTAAGAGAATACTGAGGAGAGAGACGGTCATTTAGCTCTTTTTACAGTGAAGCACTTTGTTCTCTTTTCCTTCAAAATCGGTTATTTCATTAACAAGAAAAAAAAATCCCTAAACCTCTTGAAAATATTAACAATAAAATATGCATTTAATAGAAATGTGTAGACAGTTCTGAGAATTCCAGGGGTCATATTGTGTCTAGTCCACTCAGTCTAATACCATCTGAACAGACACAAAACAAAGCCCCTCTAAACCACATTCTCATGGTCCCTGAGGTATTATAGGTACCTTTAGTTAGCTTAGCACTTCCTTGAGTTCCATTGCGGGTATATTTTGGTATTAGGATCTCCTGCTACCTCCAACAAAAATAATTGCTGCAGAAGTGGCTAATTGTCCATCCTTCTGTCAGGATAGGTTTTAACAAAAAAGCATCTTCAGATCAGAGAGTCTTCAACACTGGCAAAACAATCACCAGGTCACCAGGAGCAGGAGAGAGGAATTAGCTTGCCACACTATTAATCTAATACTGTGTCTAAGAAAACTCTTGTCTTCACTGTGTGACCGTACTGCAGTATTTTCCCCGCGGGGTTCTTTTAATGACCCTTTTTATTTTTTTTTCTCCAACTCCATAGCAAATAGTCCATAGAGGAACATTTGTTTTTTAATATGAGCATATCTTTGCCAAGACTCAAAAAATCATGTTCACCCCTCAGACCGTTTTTCTCTGGAACATCCAGATCATCTTCCCTTCAGGAACCTAAAGGTTGTAATACCTGTGGCTTGGATTCTTTATGTCAGAAATGTTTCTGTGTGCCAGTGTGGATGAGGCAGAATATGCCCAAGAAAGAATTATTTGGGAAATACGACATATCTACTAGAAGAAAATAGTCCTGAAGGACATTCCTACTTTGTGACCCAATTTATTGCCATTGCTATGTGCTAACAATTACACCTTTATTGTAGAAGTGCATGTTTGAGAATCCATTTAAGAGCTACTTGTAGCCACACGAGAAACTAGCAGCAGCTCAGGAATTTGAGTTCACCAGTTCACAGTCTCGTTATCATATTCTTTGGCTTGCCTGTGACAAAATTCACTAGCACATTAGAAAGCAAGAAGAATGTGAAAAGCACTCTCATTTTCAGTCAGAATATTTGAAGAAACAGAGAAATGAGGTTTTGTTCTTCTGACTTTTAGAGCAATGACATCTGAAATACAGATATTCCTATCGTTTGCAGGTGCTGCTTCGCTTCTGCACCAAAACGCATATGAAGTCACTGCACGTGTCCTGTAGCCTGACCTTGAGCATCTGGGGAGGATGTCGGTCCGTTTCCCTCTCAGACTCATAAGCCCTCAGCATTTCAGAGAATGACAGTGTCTGCTTTTCTAATCCTATGGTTTGTATGAGTTAGTGTTTTTTACAGCTTTGTGCAGAGGTACAATCTGCAGGAAGGGTCTCCAACTAAAAGCTCCTCTATTTCTCTGTATAGTTCTCTGTTTATCTACTCCCAAAAGTCCTGGTCAGGGCCCTCTGTACACCAAGGAGCTGTAATTGCCCTGAGCAGCCCACCCAGGATCTCCACAGATGGCCTCTGCGCTTAAGCCCAGCTACCTCCCCTGGTCCTGGCTTGACCTACATTGTAGTCTCTAACCAGCCCTGTAAATTACCAGTGCTGCCCTGGCTTCTCGGCTTGAGATTGGACCTTCTTGGTTGCTTCAGACTTTGTTGGTGAGGACATATTGCTCCTGCCTGCCCTGTTGCCAACCTCAGCTCTTGCTTACCTTCCCTTGCAGACCTGCCCGCTCTTGTCACTCACTGACAAAGGTGCTGAAAAATGTCTAATATATGGATGAATGATATGCAAGGAACAGGGTCTCATTAATAACCTCAATTTGCTAAATATGGACTGCCACATAGACTCTTATTTTTAGAGTCAATGTATTCTGATGGATTTTGCAATCAACATGATTGCCTCCACTAAAGTGAATTATATATTAGATGTTATAGCTTGTGCTTTAGAAATGACTGATCGTCATGAGAAAACAGATTTGCTGATAATTTTAAAGGCAATATTAATGCACAACATTTCATAATGAAGTGATGTTTATAAACGGGCATTTGAACCAGAAACCAGTACTAAAACATACTTTGGTAAATACAGACTACTCACTCTTGAAAATTCTGTTCAGGCATTCACAGAATGTGGGCAATGTGAAAGCTTAAATTGAAATTGTGTTCTAGCGAGAGGTGCATGAAGAGGGTGTCTGGGTTTTCCCCTCTTGCAAGTTTTTAAAGTGTTACACCCAAAATAATCCATTTTCATGGTTAGATATCTTTGTTTCCTACTCGACTGTTCACTTGTACTTGAAAGCTCCTAAGAAACTTTCATAGATATTTTTCTTTAAATAAGATCATAGTGATAATGACAGGTTCATTCTAGAATCAAGAAGCTGGACTGACTACATGTTATATTACACACACTTGCTGAAAAAAACCCAGAGCTTTCACCCAAAAGTTAAACTGGGGAATTTAAGCTTGTTGCTAAAGAGGGGCTAAATCTTCCCTCTCACCACAGCAGAGAAAAAGCTTCAGTTAAATTCAGTGGAAGTACAACTGTGCCTCCGAAGACCACAGATAATACCACCTACACATCCACCACCATGTACACAAACTTGAGCTCCTTACAGAATTGTCCCAGTGCCAGCGGTGTTACAGCTTGATTCAGCCCCAGACGGTGGGCATATCTTTCAGTGAACACTCATTATCTCCACTGAGGCCAGATTCAATTTATATTCTCCGTGAGTCAAAATTCTCGTTTCAGAGTCAGTGTGTACATGCCTAGTCAGTATTTAAATAACAAAGAAAATAGAAAGCACTGCAAGATCTAAGTTTCAAAGTGCCCTGTGGGCAGACAGAATTTCTCCCTTCGTATGCAAATGCTTGCATCAGATTGAGAGTTATGGGAGAACCGGCACAGAACATGACTGCAGGATAGAGAAAATGAAATCAACTATCTTATTTAAATGTTGGGATTTCTAGGGCTATTTCTAGGGTTCTGGAAGGAGAGATCTCTATCAAGGACCTAAGAGGATTGCTACCAGGAGTCATTGCTGATGTACTCTGGTTGACACTAGCTGTTGAAAAAATGAGAGCTGGGCATCAAGATTCAAGATTACAGAATGGCAGAGCTCTCCAGAAACTGTTTACACTGTATTGGTACATTTCTCCTCATTCTCATGGCATAAATT